AATTTCCTTGTAAAAATATGTAAATGCTTATTTCTAGTTTTTTTAATTATTTTTCCTTAATATTCTGTAAGAACTTAAAGTTCAACATACCAATACTTGATGGAATATACCTGTTCCATGATATGCCTAAGATGTTTGATATTAAGACAAATAGGATAAACCAAATTGCATATATTGCAGGTTAATAATAAACTTCTCTTCTGGAGGGTTTACAACCTAAGTTATCAGATCAAAAATTGGAGAAAAAGAAGGGCTGTGAGGTCAGCCAACATTTCCCCCCTAGCCTTCAAGGTCAGTGAAGACTCACGACATAGGAAAACCTGTACTGTAACATCATGTAACTCAGTTGTGCCCCAAATTTTCTGACCAAGGAGGTTATGGAGCCACAGAGAAATGTGGTCATTGATGTATAATGTGCCTAAAGAGAGTCAAATGGAGAGAAAACATTCTCTCAGGCTTTCACAGAGAGCAAATTGGTCAAGCAATGGCTGTGATTCATCCTCATGGCTATCACTGATAATGAATCTACAAAGTGCAGTACAGGGCTACAGGATAAATCCTGAGTGTACTTGACTGACCTTATCAGATACAAAAGTTACATTTCTTGTTATATAGGTCTTGCTTTGTCTTAGTCTTAACCATCCAGCAGAAAAGTATAAAAACAAAAATAAAAAGTAGAAAAATAAAAGTATAAAAGTGAGGTATATAAACTAAAGCCATATTAATACAAAGAACTGTAAAAGACTCAAGTCAATAACTTCTGAGATAACCCACTAGTATTATAGACTGCTGGATAGTGTTGGATTGTTTTGCTGAATTCAAGCACCTAAAGTATTTAGATGCCAATAGAATACCCACCTCTGACAGGACTGAACAAAAAAAAGGGGATACAAAGGAAAGAACATTTTGTATTTGTATATACAAAATAGGATAGATATACACCTACTTTCTCTTAATTCAATGAGAGGAAAGATATGTACTAATAGTGTTTGAACAGGCTATCCTGTCTGCTTCTCATACTATGGATAACCACTAAGAAGATAACAATGTACAATGTATTGATTATCAAAACTGTCCTATTAATCAGCTTTGAAACTGTCTCATTTATATTTGTTTCTCAATAAAATAATAATTTTATTGAGAAAGAAGTAGTAATGAGACAGTTTCAAAACAGGTTAGTAGGACAGTTATAATACTTAATACATTGCATATTATTGTCTTTGTAGTAGTTATTCATAGTACAAGATGCAGACATGATACCTTGTCTAAACACTATTATTTCAAAACATTCTCATTGAACTAAGAGAAAGTAGCTATATATCTATGCTACCTAATATATATATATATATATATATATATATATATATATATATATATTAGTTTTAGTTCTTTGAAGGACCTCTATACCAATTTTGAAAGTGGTTTTATTCATTTATGTTCCCATAAAATGTGAAACTTTAAAAAAAGAACTTACAAGGTAAAGAGGGCTCTGTTCTCATGCATGGATTGTCACTGTGGGGGTGGGGTAGGGAGGGTGTTCCATGCCTCCTCCCTGCCTTAGGCACTATCCATGGTTTTCAGCCATGTAGTGCTGCAACTAAAAGGCCCATGCCAGATGCTATCACACACACTTGAAGTCCGCCTCCAGACCTGTGAGCCAAATGAATTTCATTGCCTTGTCAATTACCAAGTCTCTGGTATTCTGTCACAGCAGAGAACAGACTAAGATGCACTGTACCTCAAGATCTCAAAGGGGAAACAGGCACTGAGTGAAAGACAAAGACAGAGGCAGAAAGAGAGAGAAAATTCCTGCCTAGTGAAGCATCCAGAGGCCTAAAGTGAGCCACTCAGCACTAAAGGGAGCAATCGGAGAGCTGGGACAAGTACAGCCAGTACATGCAGACTCACCAACACTGGCAGAAGTCCCTACCACCTCCGCTACTAAATGCGAACTCATCTTCACGTGTGAAACCAAATAAGTATGCAGGTGCCCCCACACATGCAAGAATGTACACCTGGATGGATACACAGAAACACATAACCACACATTCACATCAACATATCAAGTAGCCCTTAATACACAAAAAACACACAAGTATACAGGGCAGGAAGTGAGCCTGGAGAGACTCCACTCAAGGGAAAAATGCACAATCAGAAAATAACAGAAAGTGAGCCTGGACAGACTCCACTCAAAGGACAAATGCACAATCAGAAAACTGACCACATATGCACCTGCATGCACACACACACACACACACACACACACACACACACACCTTGGTGTCCCTTTCACAGCATCTCTGCCAACATCTAAGGAGGTGTTAAAGTGCTGGGGAGTGAGCAGGTTCCTGGGCTGCCCAAACAGGAGGAGTGGCTGCCTGGTAACTCTCTTCTAAGATCACATTCCTGGATAAAGAGGAGAGAGGAGGTGGGGAATAGAGAGTTGCATAACTGGGTGAGAACACAGGCTGATATACAAGGCTACAGACAGGTGGACAGCAGTGCAACCAGAACCATGGAGCTCAGCGTCCTCCTGTTCCTTGCTCTGTTCACAGGCCTCTTACTTCTCCTGTTCAGGGGCCACCCACAGGCCCATGGCCACCTCCCGCCAGGCCCACGTCCTCTTCCCTTCCTGGGGAACCTTCTGCAGATGGACAGAAAAGGGCTGCTCAAGTCTTTCCTGAAGGTGAGACACAGATGGACTGAATCCCTGGTGGGCTGGGAGAGCAAAGTCTCCTTTAGGGCTTAGACACTGGGTGGGAAGATCAGTGGGTAAGGATGTGATCCTGACTCTTGGTAGACAGTGGCCAGATTGTCACAAATATCCTGCCACTGGTGGAATTGTGTGAGGCCCTGTTTCTGGAGAGGATGACAGGGCATGCAAGACTATCTCAGTGTGAGACTCAGGTGCAGAATTTCACTGTCCTTGGCTGCTTGAAGCCTATCTACCTAGAAGGCAGAGAAAAAGGATATTGCTGCCCATCAAAATGATTTTGTCTCTCTCAGCATAGAGAACAAACATTGGCATGAGTCAATTGGAGGACAAACAAGAGGAAGGAGGGGAAAACAGAGGCAGTGAAGAGTGCTTATAAAGGAGGGGAAAAATAGGGAAGTAAACATGATCAAAATGTGTTGTGTGTGGGGCTGGTGAGATGGCTCAGTGGTCTAAAGCACCGACTTAGAACAAGCTTAGCAAAGCCCAGGGACTGCGGTTCAATCCCCCAGCACCACATGCCAGCCAGCCCGCCCCCTGGTGGGCTGAGCTGGCCACACACACACAAATAAATAAATAAAATTAAAAAAAAAATGTGTTGTGTGAATGCTGCAGAACCTCGTGATGAACAGATTTGCTATGCATCACAAATATACTAGTAATCTCAGCAGTGGGGAGCCTGAGGCAGGAGAATCACTATGAATTTGAGGCCATCCTGGACTACATAGGGAGGCCCTGTCTCTAAAATAAAATAATAATTAAAAAGTGAAAAGTATTGATTTTTTCACTGACAATAGAATCATACCTATGTCAGGCTCCTTTCTTGCATGGTAAATGTTCAGTAGGAACATTTTTATTATAGTTGAGCAATTTCGGATCACAATCAATGCATACAAGACATAAAATTTGTCTATCAATCAGACACAGAATCCAGGGAATACTCGGCTGTGTGCCACACAGCTCAGCAGCCATGGTTTCAGGTTTCATTATCTACTTTTAGTGTGTATTTATTTGTCATAATGGGGATGGAACACTGGGCTTCTATCCTTTGCTACATCCAGAACCATTTTTCATTGTGAGTTGCCCATGATAAGGTGCCTAAGGTTGAATTTGCACTCCATCTGTCTCAGTCTTGTGAGTGCTGAGTATTGCAGGACTGTGCTACTTCACCAAACTAATCTTCTACTTCTGATGATTATTCTATTTATTTATTTATTTACTTGCTTACTTATTTGTACAGGGTCTCACTATGCAGCTCAGACTCATAGTGATCCTCCTGCCTCAGCCTCCTTAGAACTGGGATTACAGGTATGCACCATCATTCCTTATTTCAGGGCAGCACAGAATGGATACCTGGGATCAAACCCAGGTCCCTGCATTTCCCAGGCAGGCACTTAGACCACCAAGCTATGTTGCCAACCTAGTCTTCTACTTTTAACCATAAATAATTAATCAATATTGACTCTGGTGAGACAGTTGGGGCATAACAGTAACAGCCAATGTCCTCTTCTCCCTGCTGTAGAGACCACACTCTAGGTTCCTCAGCTTCTTCACACTTTTCTATCAATAGTTTGTTTTCTGATCGATGATCTATTCATTGATAATATCATCTTTTTTTTGTGCCAGAGATGGCACTGAGGACTAAGCCCTGGGGGTAAGGAACATAGGAGAAGAAATAGCAGTTTTAAGGTCATTTGAAAGCCTACACAACGGCCGGCCAAATAGATCAGCAGATTAAAGCACCTACAAGCAGATGCAGGGGCCAGAGGTTCATTCCCTGGGCCTGCAGTGCCAGCCCCGCCCCTGGGCTCCACTGAGAGTGCAATTGAGACTGGGCATGGTGGTATGCTCCTGTAATCCCAGCTCTTGGGAGGCTATAAACAGGCAGATCACTAGGAATTCAATCTAGTAGTGGGACCCTGAACACCCTGTAGACGCTTCCCTAAAAAAAAAAAAAAAAAAAAAACCCGCGCAGGGTTGATGTAAGAGGAAGGACTTAAACAGATTTCTAAAGCTTGGAAAAGTGAGGATGGGTGGGGAGAAGAAACTATTCACCACAGGCATTGGGGTAAAGGTGAAAAAGTGGGCCCAGTTGAGTGACAGAGTACAGAATGCACAGTGGGGAGGAGGCAGGCACTGAACTGAGGTAACATGAGGAACTGGGTGAAGAGAAGGGGAGTCAAAAGCAATGAAGTAGTTGACCTATGTAAGCAAAAGAGAGCCTCCTGGCAACTTATTTTCTGTTTCCATGTCTTCTGTTGCCACATCAAAGGGTTGGACTTTATAAACAAAAGAAGTTTACTTAGCTCAGAGTTATAGAGGTTGACAGTTCAAAGCCAGGCAGTACCATTTGTTCAGCCCCTGACAATGGCTCACTATGATACAAGAGGACAAAGGGGATGTGAAACATGCAAGAAGGGCCCAAGCATGGAGGCAGCATCGCTTTACAACAACCTGCTCTCTTAAGAAGAACTAGCTTGGTCTTAAAGATCAACATTAGGGGGCTGGTGAGATGACTCAGTGGTCTAAAGCACCTACTTAGAACAAGCTTAGCAAAGCACAGGGACTGCGGTTCAATCCCCCAGCACCACATGCCAGCCAGC